GAAACCTATTCAAAGGGATCTTTAATGACTGCATGTAATAGCTATGATTACCAGGTAGGGGTGAGGGAGGTTGGGTTGTCTTTTATGTCTTGTTTGAAAGCAAAACTTATTGGATTTGATGCTTGCTCTTCCCAGGTAGTCTTTCATCTCAGACTTTCAAAGGTTGCTGTCTGTGCCTGTTATATTGTCATTCTTGGAGGCACTACAATCTTCTAAAAGTTTGACTTGTCACAAACACAGGTCAAAAAAGTAAAGCCAGGGCAGACTTTGAGGTGAAATCCCTACTCCATTCTTCCTTGATTGTATGTCACACTTAAAAGTTCCCTAACCAGTGGGGAGTGCTTATTTTGAGGCAGCTGGGGAGGTATGGTATGAGTGTTTCCTATGTTTTGTCCAAAAAATTTCCAGGAGGTTGTTTCGTTCTGGGGTAGAACAAACCCAGCTTTGAAAACTCCCTTTTTTCTTTTTTCTTCTTTTGCAAAATGGAATTCTTGTTTTCTGGCCAGCCACACGCAACAATGTGGATGCTTTCTCTGAATCTTTTGGGTTTGCTAAATTAGAGCTGAGGTATCGCTGGAATTGCTAGATTTGCTCATGTGTTTTCCTGCTTCTAGCATTACACTTTCATTAAAACTGTTACTATTATTTATTAAGCTTGAGGTCGCCTTAGCCTAGACGCTCTACAGACACATATCAGAGGGGTAGCTTGTGTTAGTCTGTATCCACAAAAACAACAAGAAGGCCTGTGATGCCTTTGGCTATGTCTGCACTACAGATAAGATCGAAGCAGTCACAGTCAATCGTCTGGGGTTCGAATTAGCGGATCTAGTGATGACATTCTAATTCGAATTGAAAGGGCCATTCCCATCCATGCCAATAGTCCTGCTTCTATGAGGAATAAGGGACATCGAAAGGACAGTGTTCTCCCTTCAACTTCCTGCAATGTGGACAGCGCCAAAATTTGAGTTAAGTCTTTAACCCCTGGTCTACGCTAGGGGATAAATTCAAATTTAGATACGCAAATCCAGACACGTTCGAATTTATCCTCTAGCGTAGACCAAGGGTTAAAGACTTAACAGATTTATTTGGGCATAAGCTTAACTGCGTACCTTAAGTCGAAGTAGCTTAACAGATTTATTTGGGCATAAGCTTATTCCACATACCCCCAATACCTGATCTTTGAACTTGTAGTTAATAACATGGTTAATAATCAACAATTATTGATTTGAAGAGTTTTTTTGCTCCATTGGGGTGGAGAATGGCAACCAAGGGCACTCCATAGAACAGTTATGAGGGGGAAACCTATTCAAAGGGATCTTTAATGACTGCATGTAATAGCTATGATTACCAGGTAGGGGTGAGGGAGGTTGGGTTGTCTTTTATGTCTTGTTTGAAAGCAAAACTTATTGGATTTGATGCTTGCTCTTCCCAGGTAGTCTTTCATCTCAGACTTTCAAAGGTTGCTGTCTGTGCCTGTTATATTGTCATTCTTGGAGGCACTACAATCTTCTAAAAGTTTGACTTGTCACAAACACAGGTCAAAAAAGTAAAGCCAGGGCAGACTTTGAGGTGAAATCCCTACTCCATTCTTCCTTGATTGTATGTCACACTTAAAAGTTCCCTAACCAGTGGGGAGTGCTTATTTTGAGGCAGCTGGGGAGGTATGGTATGAGTGTTTCCTATGTTTTGTCCAAAAAATTTCCAGGAGGTTGTTTCGTTCTGGGGTAGAACAAACCCAGCTTTGAAAACTCCCTTTTTTCTTTTTTCTTTTTTGCAAAATGGAATTCTTGTTTTCTGGCCAGCCACACGCAACAATGTGGATGCTTTCTCTGAATCTTTTGGGTTTGCTAAATTAGAGCTGAGGTATCGCTGGAATTGCTAGATTTGCTCATGTGTTTTCCTGCTTCTAGCATTACACTTTCATTAAAACTGTTACTATTATTTATTAAGCTTGAGGTCGCCTTAGCCTAGACGCTCTACAGACACATATCAGAGGGGTAGCTTGTGTTAGTCTGTATCCACAAAAACAACAAGAAGGCCTGTGATGCCTTTGGCTATGTCTGCACTACAGATAAGATCGAAGCAGTCACAGTCAATCGTCTGGGGTTCGAATTAGCGGATCTAGTGATGACATTCTAATTCGAATTGAAAGGGCCATTCCCATCCATGCCAATAGTCCTGCTTCTATGAGGAATAAGGGACATCGAAAGGACAGTGTTCTCCCTTCAACTTCCTGCAATGTGGACAGCGCCAAAATTTGAGTTAAGTCTTTAACCCCTGGTCTACGTCCACATACCCCCAATACCTGATCTTTGAACTTGTAGTTAATAACATGGTTAATAATCAACAATTATTGATTTGAAGAGTTTTTTTCCTCTTCATTGTAGTAATTTTTCTAGGCCTTAGGTTTTGTTTCAGAGTCAAACAAACATACGTATTTGTTTTTTGAATCTAGAAAATTGATGGGGAGTGGTTTTGCAGAACCAAACCATGGCTGCCTCAACCCTTCTCTGTTGAGTATAAGTTGGGAGCCAAAGTCTCCAGAATAGTTTAGTGTGAAAGGCAGCACTTACATAGTTATTTGGAATGTGATTTGATGCAAGTAGTTAATACCAGGTATTAACTACTGATGCAGTTTGCATTTGCTCTGGTCTTTGCCTCCTCTCTGGCCAGGAGTGCGCAACATAACGCCTAGCAATTGCTTCCCTTCTCAATAGCTATTGGCTTCTGAGAACTGAAGAAACTGCCACCATAATAGCTGAAACCACACACAAGTGTCCTGCCTTTCGATTTTGCTACAAATTTTCGCTGGAGACACCTTTGAGCAAGACTAGCTTCTCTTTGAGTTTGAGTTTGTCTGATTCAAAGAATCAGAATAGAACTGCTTGGGAAAGCACAGAATTTTCATACATGTCGCTCCACTTCAATAGCCACATTGCATCCGGCTCTCAAGCTTCTTATTCTTGGGACCAGGCTGGCCTGGCAGCCAGTTTCTGAGACGATGTCTTTCAGAATGTTTTGTCCTTCGAAAGACTGCTGTGATGCGGGCTGCGTATCACCTGCTTGGCATCCCTAATAAAGGAATCTTGTTTTGCAAAAGTCCTGCACCTTGCCGCCTTCTGCTGTGGCACGTGCATTATTTCATTCTTTTTCTCTTCCCTCCTAATTCACTGTGCTGGAAAGAATCAGATCCCTGGTTGAACAGCTGTTTGGAATGACTAATGTGACTTTTCAGACCCGGAGCCTCCTCCCCCAACCTATTTTGATGCTAATATCTTTTGGCATCTCGGAAAAAGCGGGATTAGTGCAGGTCATGTAGGCCAGGAGCCTCCATTCACTGTCTCTCTCTGCTAAGCAACAGAGTTTGGCTTTCTCTTACTGTTTACTTACTGAATCTTTAAGTCTTCTGTTGCTTTGAATGCCTCCATTGTCCGGACATGCTGCCAGAAGCAGAGAGTCTTTGGCTCTGTGTGCAGTGCATTATGTCCCCAGGAATCTAGCTAATAACTTAATAGCTTCTAGTCTCTACTGAGCTCACTCTGAAAAGTGCTTTGTTATGAGTTGCAGAGCACACAGATGGAGAGAAGCCACTTATCTCCAGGCTGTCACATTACTACTTGTTCTCAACATCAGGTGCCTTCACAGACGGGCATTCGTTGAAGAGTGGGGGTATGAAAGAGTTTCTTTCCGAATAGGAATTGACACAATAGAGAGAAAAGCAACAGCATCTGCCCTTACAATGACTGCTCAGGGGCATGAAAGCTTTTCATAGACCCACGCCCACGTGCTCTGCCAACCCACGCGCACAGCACCATGCAAATAGTCTCCCTTCTCTCGTAATCACTGAGACAAGTCGACACAGTATGATACCTTACTGTATTGAAGCTCTGTTTACTTGGCCTCAGAATGTGAAGTGCTTGCTGGGTCATATTGTCCATTGACTACTGTCTAGGCAGATGGAAGCATATGATTATGGTTAAATTTGGGTATGAACGTAAGTTGGGTTCAGAGATGAAATCCCGACATTTCCACCAACTGACAACAGCTATTGCAAAAGAGTGATTGTGTGGAGGATGTAAGTTGGGTTCAGAGATGAAAACCTGGCATTTCCACCAACTGACAGCAGCTATTGCAAAAGAGTGATTGTGTGGAGGAGGAGAAGTTCAGAAGTTTGCTATGTTTTAGCTTTTCTACATACTAAGAAGGCTTTGAGTGGTCAATGCAATTTTCCCCCACTGTCAACTTTGATCACATGGAGCTGATTATTTAAGGTGTGGGGAGTTGTTGTGTTGAATTGTTAGGTAAGGTGCTTTGATCCTCCATCTGCTAAGAATGCCACCTTTTTTTGTTTTCATTTAATGTAGAAGGAAGCTCAAGTTGTCAAACTCACATCTGGACTTTGTACACCCAAAAGTCATAAAATATTCAGTACAGTTCCTTTTCTGCTTAGGGGCTAGTTGTGCATCCATTAGTTTTTGTTGATGAACACCTGTTTTCACAAGTAGCTCTTCTGGCCCCTCAGAAGCCAGAAGTAAATTATGACTGAAGACGAATTAAAATACTGTAATAGCATGTTGCTCTGAATCATGAAGGTCCAAGATTTTCCTCTTGGCCACACATATAGGCAGAATTTAGCTCACCACTGAATTCGCCACTATATAGCAAATGAGTTTCCTTGAGAGTTCTAATTCATAAAACACCCACAAACATTTCTCTCCCCTCCACCACTCATTGCCTAGTCTTTCATTTGCCTTCTTATTTTGTCAAATAAATGAGCAAAAATAAAAAAGCAAAAATTGCAATGGGCACCTCTCAGTTTGTTTTACATCAGAAGCAGTGTGGGCTTAGTAGGGTTAATGTATGAGAGAGGCTCTAACTTACTACTGTATTTTGTGTCAGGGTTTTATTTCTTTACTCTGCTCTTGTAGTTTTTTGAAACGCGTTTTCTGAAATGCCTTTTCTGACGCTCTTGTTTGTGTCTTTTGTGCCTTTTTTTTCAGGAAAGTATGCCGCAAACGCCTCCCTTTACAGCTATGTTTGACAGCAGCGGTTACAACAGAAACCTGTATCAGTCAAAGGAGGACAGCTGTGGAGGACTCTATTACCATGACAGCACTCTCCTGTCAGGGTCTCTTGAAGCCCTCATCCAGCACTTGGTACCCAATGTAGATTACTATCCTGACGTAAGTCTATACACCCTGTACATTAAACTAGCTATGCTTGGCACCTCGGAACGGGAGGAATCTAGAGGAAAAAGCAAAATGTAATTTCTGTTACTGGGAGCAGGGCCCGTAAATGAGAGAGGGTGGATGAATGATGCCAACCACAATCTAAATGGCTCTGCTTTTGCGATTCTTAGATGGAGCCCATAGTAATAAAGCAGGGACACACAACATGACACAAACATGATTCTGGTTTTTTGCTGGACATCGCTGTTTACTGATTGGAACCCATAGTAATGAAGCAGGGACACACAACACGACACAAGCTTGATTCTGTTTTTTTGCTGGACATCGCTGTTTACTGATCTCTTTGCCCGACAGTGGCATTGCAGCTAGTGTGGATTTTGGTTTTTGTTTCTCCATCACTCTGCTAGAGAGAGATGGGTGACCTATTAGCTTAGGTCACAAAGGTTTACTGCAGAGCAAGGGAAGAGAAGCTAAAATTATGCTCCGAGTAATTTCAGGTGCTGCACTTGTACAGACAGTTGTCCCAAAGTGATAATTAAACCAGCCCCGCCTTGCCATGGGACTGCCTTGTTTTTGTCTAGTCTTGCATAACTAGGCCCAAGTAGCTGCTGTGTAATAGTGGTGCTGGAGAGGTGACATGCATTACAATTAAATGCTTACTTCTGCAGTAATATCAAGCATTCTCAGCACCAGCTCATACACTGAAGTTGTGCTCTGAAAGATAAACCATGAAACATTTGAGTTGAAAGGAATGTTATAGTGGGTGTATGAAATGCATGATGATTTTTCCCTCTGTCTCTCTCTTGCCTGCAGAGAACATATATATTCACCTTCCTGCTCACTTCACGGCTGTTCATGCACCCGTATGAGCTGATGGCCAAGGTTTGCCATCTGTGCACAGAGCATCAGAGACTCAATGACCCTGGAACTGACAAGGTTAGGTTTCTTGCTAAACCTATTAGATCTCACTTTGCTAAGTATACTCAAAGTCTTTTTTCCTATGCAAAGGTAGAACTCTATTGCTCAGTGGGTCTGCTACAGGATTGAATATACTGAAAACCTGTCATTAGTAACTATGATTTATGGCTTGATCCTGCACACGCTGAAGTCAAAAGGAGGTTTTGCCACTGAATACAACAGTATGAGATTAGAGCCCTAACGAATGAAAACCATCTCTGCTGAGACATGTTTCCAAAATCCAAGGCACTATAAGTAATTTTTTAGTTTTCTGAAGTTAGAGTAGGAAAAAGAAATACAAGAGTTCATACCTTGGATACCTTAAAATGCATATGGTACCAAATATGTAGTGTATACATCTTGACATGCTAGGCTGTAAACTTGCAAAGACTTAAGAACATATTTTGCATTAAGTGAACACACTGGAACTACTTGCATGCTTAAACAGATGCCTGTGTCTTTTGCAGGATTATTTCTTAGATAATAATAAGCTCTTTAGGACAGTTTTTTTTTTTTTGGTCTGTATAGCAATTAGTAAAACAAGTTTCTGGTCCATGACTGAGCTCTTAAGCCAACATTGAATATATATATGTAGTCCCACTGAATTCATTTTTGTGCAGAATTGAGACCTTAGTTGTTATATCTGCAGAAATAATGGTTATAGTAGCCTTATATTTTGGAAGGCACTACCATAACTAGCATCTAGGAATGTTCTTGTATTGCTAATTTTTGTTTTTAATTTGCCAGTTCACTGAAGGACTGGTCCAAAGCCCAATCAGGTCAATGCACTTTGGCATTGCCCCTTAATCCAGTGATAAGTTAAATTACATTTAAAGTTTTAACTTACCTTAATCCAGTGCTAAGTTAAATTACATTTAAAGTTTTAACTTACTTCATGTCTTTCTATTTCACTATTGCAGTAATTGTAGATTGTAAATCAGTCTGTTTACAGATTTGTTTTATTGATGTTCCATATAACATTCTTTCTTTTTTTTTTTAAACTAGAGCCAGATACGAAAAATTGCACCCAAAATCCTGCAGCTGTTGACCGAGTGGACAGAGACATTTCCATATGATTTTCGAGATGAAAGAATGATGAGGAACTTGAAGGAGCTGGCACAACGAATAGCCAGTGGTGATGAGGTCAGTTACCTTGAGCAGAAGAGAGTTGGAAAAGAGACATTAGTTTAATATCTTCACTAGAGTGAAATATTGCTGGCTATTCATGAATAATATGTACCAGCATTGGTTGTTACAGAGGTAACTGAATGAATAAGAATTGAATGTTTTGATCAATGCCTACGGTGCAGACGCATCCTTAAAACCACCCCAAAGACCTAATCAATGTATTGGTTAACCAACACTTTGTGCTGAAAACTCCATGCTCAGTCCCAATCTCTATATTGAATTTTTGGAACAATATTTATTTTTGTGCACAAAATGAAAGAATTGTCAGTGTGAGCAGCTGTTGCTTGTAAGTTTCAATTCCATATTTTAAATGGTGTTAGAGGAGGAAGTTGGGTGTGACTTTGAAAATCCTATTCTGATATGAAACATTACACTAAATTCATGTGTAGAGGCTTTTTAGGATCATGCCTTTGATCTTTAAGACTCATAGGAGAGGCACAGCAACATGCAGGAGGACAGTTTCTAAAGGGACTATATTAACTAGAATAGGAAGAATTGGCTTGTGTTAAGGTACTGAATTTGAGCTGAAGATCTGAGCTGCATTCCTGACTTGGACAGATTCCATAGAATCATAGGGCTAGAAGAGATCTCAGGAGGTCATCAAGTCCAGCCCCCTGCCCAAAGCAGGACCAATCCCAAATAAATCAACCCAGCCAGGGCTTTGTCAAGCCGAGACTTAAAAACCTCTAGGGATGGAGATTCTACCACCTCCCTATGGAACCCATCCCAGTGCTTCTCCACCGTCACGGTGAAATAGTTTTTCCTAATATCCAACCTAGACCTTCCCCACTGTAACTTTAGCCCATTGCTCCTTGTTCTGCCATCCGTCACTACCAAGAACAGCCTCTCTCCATCCTCTTTGGAACCTCCCTTCGGGAAGTTGAAGGCTGCTGTCAAATTCCCTCTCACTCTTCTCTTCTGCAGACTCAATAAGACCAAATCCCTCCACCTTTCCTCATATCCCCCTAATCATTTTGGTTGCCCTCCACTGGACCTTCTCCAATGTATCCACATCCTTTCTGTAGTGGGGGCCCCAAAACTGGATGCAATACTTGAGATGTGGCCTCACCAGTGCCGAATAAATGGGAATAATCTCTTCTCTAGATCTGCTGGCAGTGCTCCTCCTAATGCAACCTAATATGCCATTCGCCTTCTTGGCTACAAGGGCACACTGTTGACTCATATCCAGCTTCTCATCCACTGTAACCCCCAGGTCCTTTTCTGCCAAACTGATACTTAGCCAGTCGGTCCCCAGCCTGTAACTATGCTTGGAATTCTTCTGTCCCAAGTGCAGGGCTCTGCACTTGTCCTTTGTTGAACCTCATCAGATTTCTTTTGGCCCAGTCCTCTAATCTGTCTAGGTCACTCTGGACCCTATCCCTGCCCTCCAGCGTATCTACCTCTCCCCCTAGCTTAGTGTCATCTGCACACTTGCGAAGAGTGCAATACATCCCCTCATCCAGGTCATTAATAAAGATGTTGAACAAAACCGGGCCTAGAACCGATCCTTGGGGCACTCCGCTTGAAATTGATCACCAACCAGACATTGAGCCATTGATCACTACCTGTTGGGCCTGACAATCTAGCCAGCTTTCTATCCATCTTACAGTCCATTTATCCAATCCATATTTCCTTAACTTGCTGGCAAGAATGTTGTGGGAGACAGTATCCAAAGCTTTGCTAAAGTCAAGGTATATCCTATCCACAGAGCCAGTTACCTCATCATAGAAGCTAATCATATTGGTCAGGCACGATTTGCCCTTTGTGAATCCATGTTGACTATTCCTGATCACTTTCCCCTTTTCCAAGTGCTTCAAAATGGATTCCTTGAGGATCCTCTCCATTATTTTTCTGGGGACTGAGGTAAGGATGACTGGTCTGTAGTTTCCTGGATTGTCATTCTTTCATCTTCAAAAAAGGGGCACTACATTTGCCTTTTTCCAGTCATCCGGGATCTCTCCCAATCTCCATGAGTTTTCAAAGATAATGGCCAAAGCCTCTGCAATGACATTTGCCAACTCCCTCAGTACCCTCGGATGCATTAATCCGGACTCATGGATTTGTGTGTGTGTAGCTTTTCTAAATAGTTCTTAACCTGTTCTTTCTCCACCAAGGGCCGCCCACCTCCTTCCCATCCTGCGTTGCCTAGTGCAGTAGTCTGGGAGCAGACTTTGTCTGTGAAGACAGAGGCAAAAAATGCATTGAGTACTTTAGCTTTTCTGTCACTAGGTTACTTCTCTCATCCAGTAAGAGCCCCACGCCCTCTCTGATCACCCTCTTATTGCTAACATGCCTGTAGAAACCTTTCTTGTTACCCTTCACATATCTTGCTAGCTGCAGTTCCAATTGTGCTTTCACCTTCCTGATTATTCCCCTGCATTCTCAAACAATATATTTATACTCCTTCCTAGTCATCTGTCCAAGTTTCCACTTCTTATAAGCTTCCTTTTTGTGTTTAAGCCCATGAAGGATGTCCCTGGCAAGCCAATCTGGTCGTCTACCATATTTGCTTTGCTTACTGCGCATCGGGTTGGTTTCTTCCTATGCCTTTAATAAGGCTTTTTTAAAATACTGCCAGCTCTCTTGGACTCCTTTCCCCTTCATGTTAGCATCCCAGGTGATCCTGCCCATCCGTTCTCTGAGGGAGTCAGTCTGCTTTTTCTGAAGTCCTGGGTGTATATTTTGCTATTCACTTTTCTTCTTTTTGTCAGGCTCCTAAAATCTGCCATCTCATGATCACTGCTTCCCAGATTGCCACTCATGTCTACTTCCCCTACTAATTCCTTCCTGTTTGTGAGCAGTAGGTCAACCTGCATAGGGTCCCTGGTGGGTTCCTTCAGCACTTGTACCAAGACGTTATCTCTAACATTCTGCAAAAACTTCCTGGATTGTCTGTGTTCTGCTGTCTTGGTCTCCCACCAGATGTCAGGGTGATTAAAGTCCCCCATGAGAACCAGGGCCTGTGATCTGGAAGCTTCTCTTAGTAGTCTGAAGAAAGCCTCATCTACCTAATTTCCTGGGTGGCCTGGGGCAATTACTTAATCTTTCTATATCTTGGTCCACAGAGGGAGATAGATAATTCTTGTGAGGTGTTGAGATGTGAAACTGTAGCCAGATAGAAACAGGCCTAAAAGCTTAGATTTTATAAACCACTTTAAAATCCATTATGTACAAAAATGTTTCAATGAATTCTTAAAAAGTCAAATGAAGAGTCTTTAAAACAAAATCTGAAACCTTTCCTAAGTTCCTAGATGCTAAGCCTGGAAAGGAGAGAGTGCTTTGTGATCATTTGCTCTGAATTCCTATATCGCACAAGTGTCACTAGAAATTCTGTAAAGCTGCTAAAACTAAAAGAAGTAAGGCTTGTGCAATAAAATCAGTAAGAAAATTGAAGAGGGAGTCTTTAAAAATTTACATTAGAGTTTAATAATCTAAGGTGCTGGTTGTGACATCTGAAAGGGTGGTGGCAGTAGTTTCGTTAATGAGTCTTGAATTAATGTTGTCCTTTAAGGATGATACATGGTTTTGGACACATGATGTAAAGCAGGTGTCATCAGAGAACATAACTCATATGACAGGGTTGCCCAGTAATGAACACAGTGTGCACCAATGTGGCATTTGGAAGAACAGTAAATAGAAAATAGTGACTAAATGACAGCATTTAGTTTACTGGCATTCCCAGGGCGTGGTGTTCATCCCAGTTTTTATATCCTCTTGCCTACGTGCTGTTTGCTCCCTCTTCTACATAATAAATTAATTTTGCAGCTAATAAATTGGAAGTAATTGTATATACTGCTAAAGACAGAAAATGACCTTCAAAGACTGGAAATAGAGGCAGAGGACAACAAAATTAGACTTACATTTTCTTTTAGTTCCAAGTTATCTGTATCTGGGGAAAACTAATTCAAAGCCCAGATATTTAATGTGTAGAAAAACTTGGCAAGTAGTAATGCTGAAGAAGATCCAGTGATGGCTAAGAGCAAATCAGACACCTATTGGCAATGGAACATGACTGCAAAATAGGTTATATTCAGCAAGACATCGAGGAGCTGGAAATTAACTTTTTGCCTTTACTGCTCTGTTGCAGTTGCACCCTAAATGTTGCTTTAGTTCTAGGTACCATGTTTCTAGAAAGATATTGACAAATTGGAGGTAGCACAAAGAACAATAGAAAGATTAGAGACCTAGTATAATTGGTTGGTGAATATGTATAATTTTGGAGGGCATAAAATAAAAGGAGGAAGAGGAATTATTTTGGATGGTGGAAGGGGTTGGCGCAGGTTGAAGACGATAAGGTTGCAATTAAGAATGGAAAGGGGGTTTCTGGCAGTGAGATGTATTGGTATGTGAAATAATCTCTCCAGGGAGGTCATATAGGTTCTGTTTAAAACTAGACTAGACAAAAAATGCTATAAAATGTGCAGTAGGGAGCAGTTCTAATGATCTGGTAGGTTTCTTCCATCTCTGCTTTTCAGAGTTGCTTGGTGATTGTCTTAAAAATGGGGAAAGCAAGTGCCACAGTAAAGTTTTGTATGCAGTAAATACTAATAAAATTGGCTAGTGTATTGCTTGGAAGGTTGAATGCAGGCAACTCTCACCTTGCTTCTATCAAACTGGACTGCCAATTAGTTCAGTATCACATAGATTGTGTATGGAAACTAGGGCCTTGAATGATGGGAAATAATCAGTTTCCTGTTCTCACTCAATTTAGCTCTATCCGTTTCAAAGTACCCTAGGCAGTACTATTTAAACCTACCATTGAGAGTCTTCTGCAAGCTAGTAAATACAGCTATAGACTTGTTTTGAAACGTGAGTATTAGTGCTTCTGAAATGTTGTGATTTAATAGCAGTGGAGATTGAAGTCGCCTCTTACCTCAGAGTTCCCTCTCTGGAGAACTTCTCCACACAAGGCAACTGTGCAAACTTCCCACACTTTTCTGGAAGGAACCACTCGA